AAGGAAACTAGTTCTGTTGTGTGTGGATATACAATTCTTAACATCTCAATTTAAATATATCATCAAAGAGAAAATCTACTAGGTAGACCTAAACAAGAGTTATCCAGCAGAGTTCAGACCCACAGTAGGGAAAATTGTGACCTGAGGGGTTATAGCCCTGTGTAGGAAAATCAGCTGAGATGGGTGGTGTGGGCAGGGCTGGGAGACATAGAAAAGAAGGAATAAACAGGCACAGTGAGGATAAGAGCAGGTTTCCCATTCTTGGAGAAGTGAATTACAAAAATGGGAAAAAACTAGAATGATAGCATATATTAGATTGGACATGAAGGCAACAATGCCAAGTTTATATATAAACATATATATTACATATATATAGGTATATATACACAGAGCACATTAAATATGATATAAAATTGGTATGTGTACTGTGATTTTGAGTGTGTGTGTTCCTTAACTTTGCCTGAAGTGGTTTGGGAACCTCAACATGGGGCAACTGCAGTGGGCATACCCAGATTTGGGGGGAGCGGATTTATTTTGTTTTAAATTGTGTGTGTGTGTGTGTGTGTGTGTGTGTGTGTGTGTGTGTGTGCAAGTGCCTACAGAGGCCATAAGAGGGCGTCAGATCCCTTTGAGCTGGAGTTATAGGTCATTAAAAACCTATTGATGTGGCTTCTGGGAACTCAATTCATGTCCTCTGGAAGAGTATCAAGTGCTTTTAACTGCTGAGCTATCTCTCCCACCCCAGATTTGGGTTTTTAAAAAGGGCCATTACCCACTAAAATGAAGTAGGACTTCTTGGAGAAATATCAGCTTTCAAAGATAGAGCAGAAATGGAGGAAAACGAGCTAGTGTCTCAGGAATGGCAGAGAATAGAGAAAAGCTGAAACACCAAGACAAACAGGACCAGATTCCATTGAACAAAATACAAATCCACACTGAAATAACTGAACACACAAAGAAGCGAAGATTGTTCCTTATGTAGAATGCCCCTCACAAACACAGTCATCTATCACTGTAATGACTCAGGGAGAAACACCAGTAGGTGCTGTAACACTACTGAGTCAAAGGTGATAGGAACAGGACGTTACATGGCTTCAAAGCGTCTTTCTATGAAATATTAACTATGAATGGAGAGAGTGACTGTAGCGAGCTACGTGGAGTCACACCTGATGGAGATGTATAATCAACTCCTGAGATGTCTAAGGCCTGACCTATGCTGTGATAAGGCAATGATTATTAGCTGCTTGCATATACGTGAACCTATGGGCAATGCCCACCTGGCAATCTGGGATTGGCAGCCCATGCCTACTTAAGGGCTGGGAGAGGTTTGCCCGGGGAGAGAGGAAGGAGAGAGGAGGAGAGAGAGAGAAAGTGAATAAAGTCCTGGAATAAACTGCGGTGAGAAGAGCTCCGGTGGTCGCGTCATCCTTGCGGGTTGAGGTAGAGCCGCGACAAGTGACAATAATTTATACTGGGTAAATCTTGGCAGATACCAGTTTACTGATATGATCAAACTTAAAATTCCCAGTGATAGAACAAAATGACATCTTGGGTGACCTGATTATATTAGTTATATAACAAAACTGGTTATATTAGTTATATAACAAAACTATAACTTCAGAGGTACCATTAATAGAGAGCAGACATTCCAGACCTGGATGCATGATACAAAATAATTTAGCCATGATAGTAAACAAATAAGGTCATTAGAAAAGGCCTAAGGTCTTTGAAAGAGACTTAAAATCATTACAAGGCCAGAATATTATGGAGAATGCCTGTAACCAAGCACTTGAGAGATTGAGGCAGGAGGGTCAACGTGAGTTTTAAGGACACCTTGAGAAACAGAGTTTGAGACAAGCCAGGGCTACATGGCAAGACCTTGTCTCAAGGGGAAAAAAAAAGGAAGAAAAGAAAAAAAAGACCTTTTGCTATTAAAGGTATTAAAGGATAATATAGGAACTGCTGACAAAACTTGAATGGGATCCATAGGTGAACAAAGGACTGTGTGTATGCATACGTCTCACATGCGTGTGTGCATCTGTCTGTCTGTTCATGCGATACAGGCTGGAGGACCACCTCAAGTGTCATTCTGAGGCCTGTCATCTACCTCCCTGGCCTGAAACTCACCATTTAAGCTAAGCTAGGCTTAGGTAGCCAGTCAACGAGAGCCAGGATGTCCCTGCCTCTTCCTCTCTGGTGCTGGAACTACAACTCTGAATCACTACATCTGGCTTTTTTTCTTTTAAACTTGGGAATTGGAGATTGAATTCAGGTCCTCAATGCTTGCACGGCAAGTACTCTACCAACAGAGCCATCCCCCCAGTCTCTTCGTATATGCTTTTCATCCAACTTCTAAGACTCACATAGTTCTTTTGTTTTTCAAAGCATCACAAGAAGGAAGAATATGGAAATCTAAAGGAGGACTATTGCACTATTCATGTAATATTCTAGTCAATTAAAAACTCATTCTGATTTGTCTCTATAGTATTCATAAGAATAAGAAATACCTAATAGACATATTGGCAAAATTGTAGCAAACTCTATAAAGTCAAAACCCCAACCCAACTATACACAGATTTAATATGCCTAACAAAGTGACAACATAGTGACACCTTTTGGATCCTGATACAAATGATACATAAATACATTTATGGGACATAGGTATGAGATAGTGAGAATTCTGAACACTATTTAGAATGCTGATGATATCATGAGTTAGAATTTTCCTTATGGCAGTGTGGTATTTACTAAAGGGATACACACCCACTGTGAGTGCAGAGGAAGTGGGTGACACAACTGTCAGCTGGGAACTGTAACTGCATGTGAGGGGTGACATGGGGATGTGAACCCCTCTATCTTACTCTCTGTACTTCTGTGATTTAGGAGTTCTCCCTAATGAGAGTGGCTCTGTTCAGAACTGTTGTTTGTGAGTGGTACAGCCAAGACTTAAATCTAGGTTTGTCTCATCAGAAAGCTAGTTTTTTTCCCTCTAAATGTTAAGTTTGTTTGTTTTTTTTTTATTTTATTTATTAATTTATTTATTTAGTTTTTGGTTTTTCAAGACAGGGTTCCTTTGTAGTTTTTTGAAACTTGTCCTGGAACTCACTCTGTAGACCAGGCTGGCCTCGAACTCACAGAAATCTGCCTGTTTCTGTCTCCTGAGTACTGAGATTAAAGGCGTGAATCACCACTGCCTGTCAAAAATTAAGTATTTTATTCATGTACCTTGACATTAAATTTTCTAATGATTCATTAGCCAACATTCAAAAAGCTATTCTCCACCCTAAAATATAATAAAGTATAACTGACTACCTTTAATGAGATGCAATTTTTAAAAGTTAGATATTAAGTACATTTTTCTGGATTTCTTCCTAATTAAAAATTAGCTGTACTTTTATGTACATTTTATAATATGAAAAATATTAATAAATTATTCAATTAAAACATTTGAAAAGCTAAGAAAAATCAGCTTCTTTACTGATCAAAATGGTCTCCCTCCCTGGGGCATTCGGGAAAGTGCAGAGGGTTCAGGTGTCCCTGAAACCTGGATGACTGGATTCAGTAGGTGGAGCCCTACTTTTCTCCGTGTAATGAGTTTCCCCTATCAAAGCTAACAGAACCCCTCCAGAAAAGAAATCCACTAGAAGGTAACTGTGAGAAAGAAAAGAAAAGAAAAGAAAAGAAAGAAAGAAAGAAAGAAAGAAAGAAAGAAAGAAAGAAAGCAAGCAAGCAAGCAGGCTTGTGTGACTGTTCCATTTGCTGCCTAAGGTGATGCGGAGGGGACATGGCATAGACACTGTCACTGCGTTTGCTGTTGTTACTTCAGGGCCAAGGAAATTGGCAGGGAAGAGGACTGGCACAGACAGTGTCCACACACGGCAGTTACCAGGGTTAGCTCCTCTAAAGCCAGACACAGCGGACAGATGGAGGACCTACAAGGCTTTGGGCTTTAGCCATGGGAAACACTGTTTCTCTCGATGTGAGAGAGGGCCCTCCTAGGATGGACAGATTCCAGTAAGAACACAAGGAACTGAGAGCTGACTGTTCCCAGCAAGCACTGAAGGCAACAGCTGCAGTCAGAGCTTCTTCCTTTACTTTCCTATCATCTCAGCCACACTGTGAGAAGAAATCCTGCAAAGTCCATTATTCAACAGCATAAAAATGAACTTTTACGGTTAGAATATCCTGCAAGATATTGCCAAGAAAATGCTCAACATTTCTTCTGATTACCACTTGTGATGGTATCAAGGCCCACATTGTGGCTGAAATCTTAAATGCCCCTCACAGGCTCCTATGCTCAAAACTTGGTCATCAGTCTGTGATGCTACTGAAGGCCAGTAGAACCTTTAAGAGGCAGGTGCTAGTGAGGTCAGTTACTGTGAGCATGCCTGTAACAGAAATACTGGGACTCTGACCTCTCCTGTCTTTGCTCCCAACCCAGTGAGCAGTTTCCTCTGCCATATATTTCTGTCATGATGTTTGACCTCATACAGGCTCAAATGGAATAGGCCAGCTGGCCATGGACTGAAACCTTTGTAACCATGAGCCAAATAACCATTTTCTCTTTTGAATTAATTATAATTTTATTAATATAATATTTTTTGGCAGCACAGGGAAACGCACACAAGAGCCCCGGCAGAGTGGGCCTGAGCACTGCTGAATGCTTTGCAAGTGGCTCTTGCATGCACTGAGGGAGAAGAAACAAACGGCTGGCTCGCAGTAGGCGTTTGAGGGTAGGAACAAACGTGCAACCTCGGTTTAAGATAACAATCGGCAGACACGCACTGCTTCTAACATCTCTACTTCAAAAGGCCAAGAGCATTGTCCAGGGTTTGTAAAGGAACTCTACCAGGCCAAACAGAAAGAAAAGGTCACAGAAAACACCTGGACCTGGGCTTCAAGTGAAGAATAGAGCTTTTTCTTTCAGATACTTTCACATAATTACTTTTATTAAGCATTAATTTCCACAGAGACACAAAGTACACTAAAGAGATTATTACCATCCATGTTTGCAGCGGCATACCCACTGTTATTCACCAAAGTGGAATATGGCTTTTCATTCTGCGGCAAGACTCCTGCAGCCATAGTTGTCTGCTGGAAAATGAAAAAAAAAAAAGATTATTGCTGAACTAATCAATTTTTTTTAAAAAAAGATTATTGCTAAACTAATCATGTCAGACACCTGCTGCCCGATGTGGCAGCCATTAACTATGTGGCCCTTTCTTCTTTTCTTCCTTCTCTGTGTGACTGAACTCAGTACTCCACTATAGACCCACATCCCCAGATGTACTATTTGAAAACTTAGTACAAAGAAGGGTAAACTAAAGTTGGGTGGTGGTGCACACATTTAATTCCAGCACTGGGGAGGCAGAGGCAGGCAGATCTCTGTAAGTTTGAAGCCAGTCTGAGTTCTGGAATTCTGTAAGTTCCAGGACAGCCAGGGGTATGTAAACCCTGATTCAAAAAAAAAAAAGGGCTAGTATAATAACTTTTTCTAGCCAAGGTTGTCCTTTGCCCTCCCCATGTGCCCTGACATGCACACGTCTGCACTCTCAGAGCACACACATCACACAGATACCAAAACAACTAAAGACAAACCTAGATACTGGTATCTTACAGAAATTCTTACATTTCTGTTTACAATTGTTATGTTAAACTGCTGAAAGCTTTTCTTTGTCACAATTAGACTTAATGTTTTATGTTCCTGAATTTATACTGAAAATTCACACAAAAATGAAAATGCAAAACTGCCCATATCTGATTTCTGTGCCCAATTTTTTTACTCACAGTCACACACTTGGGTACATTTTGATTCCTTGGGAAGAGAAAATATTCTAGCAGGAAGAAGGGGGTGTTCTTGTTTTTTAGAATGCAATATTTTCCATCATAGTGACTTCTTAAGCACAATCTCCATTCTCCGTATATTCAGGGTGCTAGTTACATGTCTCTGGCTGTCATCGTGGTTACATGTGTGGTGTCGAAAAGACCCAACCACACAAGGGAGGCCAGAGAGGAGGATCTCAAATTTGAGACTATGAAGTGAGGCACTATCTCAAAATGAGAAAAAATCCCCAACCAACCAACCAACCAACCAACCAACCAACCAACCCTCTTGCCTGCTGTGCAGCACTACCAGCTGAGCTCTGGCAGCGCACAGCGCTTTTGATACAGGCGATCAAGGCTGGAGATACAGTTTGGTGTCAGTGCACTAGCCTAGCACGCTGGAGGCTGGGTTCAACCCCCCTCACTGCAAAAAGCCTCCATCAGAACAAAACAAATAGTGTACAAGAATAGAAAGCCTGTCTAATTATGGGAGTTATATTGTCAATTCTCACAGGTCTGAGATATATAATAATAAGTCAATGTGAGAAACAGAGTATACGGCCTTCAATGTCTGACAACAGAAAGTCAGTTCTGCTTGTATCTGCTAAGCCTACAGTACACCATGCAGAATCCTTTCTCAGCTGTGGTTGTCAATCTGCCCTTACCTGGGAATCTGGTGCCTGAGTTTCACTGCTTTAGAAATTTGAGCTTTCCTTGCCACCCAAACACCTGTAATCTTCCTCCTTGTTTTCCCTCTTTGAGTTCTTTCTCATCCACCTTCCTCAAAAAAAATTCTGGTTAGTTTTCCAGCTGGTCTTGACTTTTTCTTATTAAAGAATTTATTATTCCTAAAAAGGAACTTTTCTTTGAAATGTTCGTTGGGGCTGCCCCTTCTTGGCCTTGACTTTGGGCTAGTTTAGATGTACTGCTAAGGCTAACCTTTTCTATAGATTTGCCCCTAGGTGTCCAGAGGCCTTCCCATTCTAGCTGACAGAGCAGAACTACTTGGGGCAAGTTCCCCGACTTGTATTTTCCTGGTCTCAGAGGGTTTATACAGATCAGTACTCACCAAACTGCAGTTCAGAAAAGCTGGAGACCTTCTCAGGTGGGGTGTCCTCCCCTCTCTGGGAGACCTTAACTATGCAAATCCTAGCTACTTTGGCTCCACTGAGTTCAGCCCTCTATGTATCTCTGGGAAGGCCTGGTCCCTCTCTAAGCCCAAGTCTGGAACTGTCCCTAGGGAGGCAGCTGGTGCAACCTTAAAGTCACCGTGTTTACATCTCTAAGAGACCAAAGCCATGGGCTGCCTGCTTTCCAATAATTTTTTATAAGGTTGTCTAATATTTTAGTTAAGAATACCCATCTGCCTTATTTATGTGTTAGGAGCAGAAGTCTCTCCACTCATCTCTGAAACTCAAATCTGAGATCTCTGAAATATTGTCTACTGTATGCTTCTTTGCATAGAAACACAGTATAGTTACACATAATTGCTGATCAAATATATCAAGATTTAAATATATTGTCGAGTCAGAGTTCTGTGTTTAAATCTTAGTTACTCAATTGCCATCTATATGAACTGGTCTGAGCTTTGATTTCTGTTGCAGAATGATTATATGTGTACTTTCAGAGGATGTAAGGAAGAGAAAGACTGTATACGCATGCATGTGTAAACGTGTCTAAAGCAATGCCTGACACAAAGGAGATGCTTGGTATTTCACTTTGCAAATCAATACTGTAATTTTTTCCATTCCCTTCCCAGGTTATCGTCATTTTGCTCCTTCCTTAAAATAGTTTGTCAGCGACTCTCAGCATTACCTGTCTAATTGTCATGCTAATAGTGAAGCTGAGCTTCCAAGAAGTCTTAAGAACATGCCAGCTCCATTCACAACTCACCTACTCGTGTGCCTAGCTGCAGGACAAGGAGAGTTTCGATTTTAATCCTGACATTTCACTCTTATGTAACTTCCTGACTCAATGACAAGGGTTTTGCTCACTCTGTACCACAGTTCTTTCATCCCTAACCCGTCCCCCAGATGACTCAACTGTTGGAATTAGTCACACATTTCACTAATTAGTACCTACTACTTAAAACTTGAGTACAGCGCCGAACTATTACTCACACGGTCACAACAGTCAGGAAGTAATGTTCTACTTCATAATCAGTTCACTTCACAGAGACCAGGCTGGGAGACACTCAAGAACCTCAGCTCTCTCTTCTGTGCTGCGGAGGCAACGGTGTTTTGCATATTTCTTCGAGAGACTTTGCACTGAGCAAGTGCTCTAACCCTTCCTTCATGCTTCCAGCTCAAGCACATCAGGATGACCCTGGGTACCTGAGGAAGGGCAGATCCCTTCTTGTCCCCACTTCCAAGGTGTCTGAGTTCTGGAGGAGCACAATTTACTAATTTATACTCTTGTCGTTCTGATGTGTGAGGTCTGTGTTCACTCTTATGGGCTACACTGTCAGTCAGTATGGTAAGATTCTAGACAATAATCACAGATGCTTAAGAATGTAAATGAATTTATCCAGGCCACATAAATATTATGGTGCTCAAATGGAAGTGATGGAGGAGGTTCATCTGTCTATTTGTTACTTTCATTAATTAATAAAGAAACTGCCTTGGCTTTTTGATAGGGCAGGATTTAGATAGGTGGAATAGACAGAACAGCTGGGGACCTAAGATTCAAACATCTGAGTCTATGCAGGACATTCTCATTCAAACCATCATAGTCCACTCCCTGCTCCACCCCCTAGGTTGCTGGCCATATCATAACTTAAAATGTATTTAGTCCAACATCAAAAGTCCCCATAATCTTTCATAGTTTCAACACTGCTTAATATCTAAGTCTAAAGTCTCTTCCAAGACCCACGGTAATTCCCATAGAGCGGACAGTGACCTTGAACTCCTGACCCTCTAGCTCCATCTCCCAAGTACTAGTATCACAAGCATATGCTACCATGCCTAGCATGTCATTCTATTTCCAAAAACCCTTCACACAGCCCACCTTAAAATTTAAATCATACCAAATTACAGTATTTCTCAATAGGATCATGGTAAAAACACTCTAGAATACTAATAATTTATCCTGTTTATTGTCTGCTTTTCCTCTTCTATAATGTAAACTCATAGAAATACATTTTCTGAGGAGGATCTGCTTTGCCAACATCTGAATTTCTAGAACCTACACTGGAACCTAGCACATAACAAGGACTCAGGATTAGGTGAGTGCACAGTGAACATCAACCACTACTTGAATCTCCATTTTCCATCTATAAAGCAGGAACTGTAACCATGCCTTACTTGTCTCAGTGACCCTGAAAGCATATAACTGTGTGGCAGAACAATACAAATACAAGATGTTTTATGATGCTTTCCTGAACATATTCAAGTTTCTAATTTCTTGTAAATCTTTCATCTGACAAATTTGTGTTCTAATTCCTCGAGGGACTGGATCTGCTTTCCTCTCAGCTTCAGCCCACATTTCCTCCTTGCTAGGATACCCCCTAAATGCCAATTACATGTTTTACTCATTTCTCCTTATCTTGTAGGGCTGAGTAAAGGTTTACCTAGGTCTGGGTAGGCTCAGGCACTATGAAAACAGCCCTATCTACAGTCCTCAGAGAGGGGGCTGAAGGCCATCTTAAAAAGACAATCTGTCTGGCAGTTTACTACTAACTTCACTGGCTTCTGTGATCTCACACTTTAACTACACCTTAGGGAAGACTGCAAGGCTCCCAGGCGGCAAGTCACACAGCACAGAAAAATAACACTCCAGGAACCCTATTTCACCCTTTAAAGACCTATGCTGCTCAAGTCATACTCTGCAGACAATACTTCAGGACAAGACAAATGAGGTAAACTGGTAGCCATAGCTGAAGCTGTTCCACACTCCCTTTTTCCTGCTAGTATCTGCACCTGGCAAGTTATCCTCCAGGTCGGAGCCAATCTCAAATTAAGGTACAAACACTTCTAAGATCATCAAGACAGACAACTCCCAGCTCAGCACCCATCAGAATGACCTGGTGGGCTGGGGACTATGGTTCAGCATTTGTCTTACACAGTTTCTAGTATCATAAGTAAAAAGAAACTGGTTAAATGTTATAAAAACCCAATGCTTGCCTCCACCCTCATTTCAGACTCAGAAGGTCAAGAACTGAGAGCCTCTAACTGGCTTCCGTGGTGGTCACATATTCAGAACCACTATAGCAGGCAAGAAGTCTACACACACCTAACAGCAGATTTCCATTTAAAGAGTTTGTCACGGAGGAC